GGGGGCATTGAATACAAATAAGGGGGAGGTCTAAGAATAAAGAAAGAAGAGTCCAGAACCTATCTAAAGCAGCCTTTTGGTGGTAGGCCAAATAAGTTTGGGAACCTATTCTAGTGTATCCCCAATGAACTGAATGCTCTGTACAGACTTTAACCTAGTCTTTTTGCAATTTATGGTAAGACCTAAATGGTGGCAAGTCCTAAGTGTGAGAGCCACCTGATCTGATGGTGATTCCCTTGACTCTGTGACTAGAAGCCAGTTGTCCAAGTAAAATAGCACATATCTGCAGATGCAAGTAGGCTACAACTGGGGCCATGCACCTGGTAAACACCCTGGGAGCTGTTACCAACCCAAAGGACAATACACAGTAATGATAGACCTTCCCTGCATAGTGGAAATGAAGGTATCCCCTATGCACTATATGTATTGAACCATGGAAATAGGCATCTTGTAAATCAATTACAGCAAACCAAACATTGGGATTTAATAAATGTAAAACAGATACCAGTAAAACCATTTTGAACTTAGTCAACCAGAGAAAGGAATTTAACCCCTGTAGATCAAGGATAGGATGAAAAACTCCATCCTTTTTATCTACTAGGAAGAACCTAGAATAAAACCCAAGTTCTACATTGGGTTTCAAAACCACTTTGATCACTTCCTTTTGGAGAAGAAATGGAAGCTGAGGTTGTTTACCACTTGAGAAACCTGCCAGACCTCTGGTAAGGTAGAAAATTCTAACTTATAACTGTGGACTATAACAGATAGAAACAAATTATTATTAGTTATCCCTTGCCAGTAAGGGAGGATTAGATACAGTCTGTTCTTAAAGCTTAGAGCTGGAGACACCAAAACATGTCCTAGTCAGAAAGGTTTTGACTGAAGATTCTGGGAGTCCTTTGCAGAGAAGAGTTGTTTTCTGTTTTGGTCCACTGCATTTCTTGGGGGAAGATTGGTGGGAGGAGAAAGATCCCCTGAACAGGATACTGATATCTTGATGAAGGGTAGAAATGCTGCTCCCTATGGGGTGGATACCAGTGTCTGAAAGAGGACAAGTGCTGTCTTAGAAAGGGTGGGTGACTCCTAAAGACCTCACTGTCCAGAGATTCTTTTTAATTTTCATGAGGGTGTCGTCCCTATTTTCTGAAAACAAGGTAGTACCTTCAAAAAGAAGGTACTCTATCTTATTCCTCATCTCTGCTGGCAATGCAGTGAAATGAAGCCATGCACGGTGGCAGATAATTATTGAGGATACAATTGTTTGAACTGCAGAATCAGCAGTGTGGCAAGCTGCATTGATTTGCTGCTTGGAGAGCTTGACAGCTTCAGTTTGAATAATCTTTGCTCAATTTTTCTAATCATCAGGTAAAGATTGTAAAAATGGTGACATCTTCTGCCATAAAAACAACTGGTATGCAGCCATTGTTGATGGCACATTGTCCCTGACAAGGCAATTTTACTTGCACTCTTAGGACCTAAACTGGAAGGTACATATTAGTTCCAGTATATACTTCTGACACAAGGCCAGATATATTTGTGGCCCCAAATAGAAACTTTTTGGTGTGTCATTCAATTCCATATTGGAACATTCCAATTTGGTTCTATTTTATTTATTGTTAATTGCCTTATATGTGTTACAGAGACTCTGTTGCTTGTTGTATTTTGCACTACTTGACCTCTGAAGAAGGCTCTTATGCAGCCATTATTGCCTGGTAGTTGGAGATTTTGAAAGTGAGAGCAGCAGAAGAACAGGTTTTTCAACCTAACCCATCAATCTGTATCTTTGGGGACAGCATAGCTGGATCGTGTCCTTTGGCTTGCAATTTCTCCATTATCAAGGAAGATGGGGGACAGTGGGAAAAAAGGAAAACCGAATCCTCTTGCTTCCCTCTATAGAGGCTTTCAATGCATCTGGAAGTGGCAGGAGCTGAGGCTTGTTTCTTCAAGACATCTTTGGACAGATCTTTAAAGCCTTCCAAAACCAGGGATTCCACCGTGCCTGGTGAACCTCAGTATAAATGCCCGAGGATCTTGTCTTTTGGCCTTTGCTTGGTGATAGGGTTATCAACTTCCAACGCTTCTGCCATTCTCACCACCTGTTCTGAATAAAGATGTAAGTCTTCACTCGGTGACATAGCTGCAGGATCCCTTACATACTCACTGGGAGATGGATCCGACGGCACTTCCAAACTATGTTTGGAACCAGCCATGACATTATCCTCACCCTCATCAGAGTCCACAGGATAGTCTCCAAGGTGCAGTTGAGGCAGAACTGACAACAAAGGTGGAGAATGGTTCCGATGATGAGGCGGTCTAGCAAGACTTGGTTCCATATGCTGCAGAAGTAAACGATACTCAGGGCAGTAGGCAGGGGACATATAGTAAGGATAGGGTTGCTAAGGGGAGGGTGAATAACTGGCTATGTAGGAGCTATCGTGGGATCCATATGTCATCCTTCTCCAGGACAGCACATTTTTTTGCATGTGGAGCACATTTTACTGTATTGCTTTACTGCGAAAGCGGCGAGCAGCAAAGATGGCGTCTGGGTACATCGGAGGCGGAACAGACGTCGGCGGAGGGACAGAGCCAGGACGACACGCGAGCATGGATGGTGCAGGTGGGGCGGAGCCACGAGGACTGAGCCAAGGCTGCGCCGGAGCATGCAGCGTGACAGAAGGGCCCGACCGATCCACCACTGAAAGACCGCCAGAAAGGAGCCAGAAGCCAAGTGACGCTGAAGTCGATGTAGCCGACCTGGGAGAAAAACCTCTCCACTGGGTGCCGGTAGGGATTGTCCCCACCCCTAATAATTGTGGCCATAGGTTAGGGATAAATGAGTAACTGTAGCCGCTCAGAGACCCCTTAGGGGGTTAGAGCGGGGTAGTAAGCTGAAAGAAATAAAATAAATAAAATAAATAAATAACAACAAAACAAGAATAAAGTGCTCCATCGTCTTTGGGTCCAAAGATGGAACTGGTTCAGAACCAATGTCTCGTTCCAAAATGGAGCGCACTGGTGATGTTGAGTGTACTGAAGTGTCTTCAGCTGGTCAGAAGCAGGACCCTCAGGTTCAGGTAACTGCTCCATTGGAACCGACCGGGTGGAGTGGGTACCGACTTCAGACTTAGACTTATCCTTATGTTTAGTTTTAACTTTAGCTTTTTTTTGCGGGCAGTTCCAAAACACTCCTAGGAACTGAGATGGTGGGAGACCAAGACTGGTGCTGGGCAGGCTTGGAGGCTGATGGAACTGACGCCATCGAGGGTGAGTCTAGAGGCCTGTGAATCAGAGTTGTCTGAGAGTGTTTCCTTGTTCATAAGACTTTCTCTTACATGGCAGCCTTAAGGCAGGAGGCACTGACTTCTCTAGCCTTTGGTGTGAATTGCTGGCACACCCAACAAGCTCTAACATATGTTTCTCACTCAGGCACAATAGGCAGAAACTATGTTTGTCAGAATGGGGCATTTTGGTTCCACATTTAATATAGGATGAATAAGGCCCTTTGTGCCATGATTCCTTTGCAGGAAAGACAGGGTGCGAAGGCAACTCTTAGTAAAATTTGCCATGTGGTGCATCAACCTGCGTGGTCTCTTTTCTCTCCTATTCTTCTTTCTTTATTCTTTAAGGCAATGGCCAAAAGGGAAGTAAGGTTTACCTCACCTTCAAACAAGGATACTTCAAATGTCAGCAAAAAAGATGGAGAACAGTTAGATGCGGAGCAAGCTATGGAAGAACCTACTCCAACGGTGGCAAAGAAGGACCTGAGGGGAATGGGTGCCCTCCCCCTCGAATCACATGACTGTTTGAGTGGGAAAGCAGCTCTCTGTGGTTTCAGGGGTATGTGTAGGGCACCCTCTGGTGACTTTTTAGCTTGAAAAAGAACCTTTCTGCAGCTGGTCTTCCTAGCTGTAGTCCCTGAAGACTGAAGATGAACTGGTATTTCATTTATCTTATTTGACAGTCTTATACTGTCAGATAGCACTTACCAAAACAGCATGCTATCAAAATGTTAAAACATTAACAAAATAAAAAGAACTCAAGAAACCATATTCTTACAATATTTCCAATAAGGAGAATATGCAGTGCTTGATTTATAGAAATTTCTCACTTACCTACCACCTTTTCCAACTGCCTGTATAGCCTCATTAGCTAAACGGAGTGCAGTTTCAGAATCATACCAAAACTGGCTCAGTTTCTAAGGAAAAATAAAGCACAGATGTAAACAATTAAATATTTCCTTCATATAATATATGACTGCCCAGGTTTCTCATAGAAAACTGGGGCTCATGGTCACAAACACTGAATAGTTTAGCCTTTTCATTTACTATATTGTGGTTCACCAGTAGAGGGCGCTCAGAAAAAAGATGTAGATACTGCAAAAAGGGAAGCAGCCGCCAAATCGTGAGTTTAGATAGGACAATTAATACTTTTAACAAAAAACTATTGGTGAACACACACTCATGAACAAACGCATAATTTATACTAAGCTTAAGACAGGTATTTTAGAAACTGTCTACTCCAGTTTCACATCATCCACAAGTAGTGGGAAAGGAGAACATTTATTTATTTCGAGCATTTATATCCTGCTTCTCGAGATACTTGCTCACAGAGAGAAACAGGATGGGAAGCAAAATCAAGTAGCAGGAAAAAGGGGGGGATTTGTAAATATACAGCAGAAATATAAAACAAATCCCTGATTCTTCTCACTCTTTCGTCTTGCATTATGAAGATTCCGCCCCTGTTCTCAGTCACAAGAAAGTACAAGTACTAATATTGCCCCTGCATTTTTTCCAGTAAGACACCATAATCATTCAGAAAATTACCCTCTATTGTTTCATTTGTGTTTACTTTCTCTATCTAGTTAGGTGCACCTCTGCTGAACAGAACAACTTTCTGTAACATTAAGCTGCATTACACGTAAAATCAAGTAAAAACTACATACTAGCTGCACAGTTCATAGTGCAGAATTAGAAATCACTTAGCAGTCTTCTCTCGGGTATTGTCTATCCCGATGACTTGGGTCCCATGGAAAAGATCCATGCATGCAAAGGAGGGGATATGTTTTGCAAACTCTGCCCCCTCCTGCAGCAGCCTTCCAACTCTCCCCTCATGCTGCTCATGGGGTCCCTCACTCTGTAGGGGAAACATTTCAGGGACATTTGGGGCTGCACTTGGGAGGTGGGGAAGTTATTCTTCAGTGCAAAGAAGTTGCCCATGATTTCTTCCTGCCCATTTAAACCTTTCTTCCACCTTACTTGGGAACTGCCAGCTTACCCAGTTCTCTTCTATTGAGCCCAGAGAATACTCAGCACATCTTTCTGTTGTCCTAATGTCATTTTTCTGCTGCTGTTCGATGTAGAATTCCTGCAGTGCAGCTAAGGCTTGGGATGAAAGCTGAGGTACATCATCATAATCACCAGTGTCACTCATTTTCTATTCAATGATAAAATAGACACACAAGCTTTTTTGTCACAAGCAATACTAAAATACATGGACTGGTCATAAAACTAGAAGATTCATTGAGGAGACGGAAAGATAAAAGATAAGGTGCCATCTTTAGCAGAGTTACCTCCTTCTAAGCCTACTGATTTAATAGATTGAGAAAGATGTAACTCTGCTTTGGACTGCTCTTTTTTGTCACAAGCAATACTAAAATACATGGACTGGTCATAAAACTAGAAGATTCATTGAGGAGAAGAAAAGATAAAAGGTGCCATCTTTAGCAGAGTTACCTCCTTCTAAGCCTACTGATTTAATAGATTGAGAAAGATGTAACTCTGCTTTGGACTGCTGCACTGAGAGTTAGTTTAATGTATCCCACAGCAGCAGGTTGGGAATAAGGCAATGAAGGGTTTTTTAAATCAATTTGACATTTTGATTGTTAGTACTGTAAGGATTCAACCCTGACTGTTCCCTGGAAGGCCAGATAATGAAACTGAAGCTCAAATACTTTGGCCACCAAATGAGAAGGGAGCACTCACTGGAGAAGACCCTGATGCTGTGAAAGATTGAAGGTCAAAGACGACGGGGACGGCAAAGGATGAGATGGTTAGACAGTGTCATAGATGCAACAGACATGAAATTGAGCAAACTTCAGAGGACGGCGGAAGACAGGAGGGCCTGGCGGGATCTGGTCCATGGGGTCGCGAAGAGTCGGACTCGACTGTGCGACTGAACAACAACAACA